CAGTGGCATCATTAAGATTAATGAGAAATTATTACAAAACAAAAATAAAAAAAATTTCAAGGGTCAAGGGCCCTTTATTGACGTCTTATATAAAAGTTTGTGGCTAAACATTTGTTGATTTTAATATTCATAGTTATCTATAATATTAGTTATATACAAGTACATATCATAAGCTTTTTCAGCACAAGTAGGGACTATGGGTCCAGGCATTATCATTTTAACTAGTTCTTCAAAGTCACTGGAGTACAATTTGCTCTCAACACAATGATCATTTAAAAGTACTCTAACGTGTTCCAGATTAACAGGTTTTTTACAATCTGAAGCGTTAAAGTTGTTTGGAGAGTGAAACATTTCATTGGGTATTCCACTGGCAATATTTCTGGAGTTCTGCTTTCTCATTCGGTGCTGATTCCATTCCTTTTTGGTTTTTATTATATCTGCCTGTATGAGTGGTCCAAAGCAGTAACGAAGAGATTCAATATGAATCGGATTGCCTATGTTTAATGTTCTATCCGATTCCATTGATTTAAAAAGGTTTATGTAAAAATCCTCTAAGTGTTGTCTAAACTGTCGCCAATAACTTTCTATGCGTTGATTTTGAGTACTTTTACCTCGGAGAAAACTTTTATGTCCAGCAAAATCATCTTCATGGTAATATCTCAAGCATTTTTGGAAGTCTTCCATCAGCACAGCTTCTGTACCATTGTCAGTCCTGATAATGGTTGGTAGAAATTTCACTTTTTGTATATATTTTAAAAAATAGTATCCTATTATAGCTGGATTGTTGTTGGAAGTTCCAACCTCAAGCCACAAAATCTGGAATGATTTAAGCAAATTAAGTAAAAAAACAAAATTATTAAACATTTATTTGTAAGATATACAGCTTATATTACTTTCCTGGAAAATCCATCAATGCATCCATAGATTGCAAAACCAAACCTTTTTAATTTGTCATGCCCATTAGCATGCCAAACAAAATTAGGCCCAGGAACTGAATATACTCGTCTTTTTAACTTATATCTGCATCTATTTTCAACACCTTCAGGATCCATTTTCTTCAGGAGTTGCAAGACTGTCTTCTGTTTAGCTGTTAGATTGTATGTTGATCGTAGCTTTATCCACAAGGCTCTGTAGCCTAAATTGAAGCCACTTCCTTGAAGCTCAAGAAAAATTGCAAGCATAATCTGAATGATTGAACTTTCTGTTATGTTTCTTTTTCGCAGGTTCCATTTGCGTAGCAATCTTTCGAAAGTTCTGAGAGACATGGTGACACCGTACTTATTTTCTAGTTTTTCCAGAATTACCTTGTAGGAGTAGTTCTTTTTAATATACTTTTTGATTACGCTGTGAATAACTACTCCATCTGCATCAACCTACAATATGAATCAAATTTAATTTGGTCAACTTAAATGGTAAATCATTTTATCAATGTTTAGAGTTTTAAATAACATACCGAACTATTCAAAGCTTGTTGAATGTTATAAAAGTATGTGTTAATTTTAGGGTGTAAACATACATCATGTCCATCATCATAATGGAGCATGAAAACTTCATCAGCAACTTTGTACGTTAAATAACCATATTTCGGAAAGTATTCTTGTAAAACGCTTTTATTAATTTTTCTGTTGGTGACCATTATAAACTTGCTTTCATGTTTATAAATAATTTCTACTTTGTCTTCCATATTTTTATTTTCCGACCTATACACTTATTTTCTCGTTCCTGTGGATTCATAACATTATTCAAAACTTTTGAACCTGTTTTTATAAGCAATTATAAACTATTTACCGGTCTTAGATGTTATTATTTGATTCAAAAGTTTTGTTTGTAAGCAAAAACAAAAAAAACACGCGTTAGGTTAGATTTCTGCTTGCACAGCTGGGCAAGCAATCAAGATGCGTTGCCTATTTCAGGCCTATCAAGCAAGCAAGCAAGCAAACTTGCCAGTAGATGGTGGGTAGGCGCTTCCGTATTAAACTGATTGTCTATAAGCATGAATCAAATTTTCTTTAAGTATGATAGTCTCGTCAGCCGTGTCACTGACTGGTGATCCACCGTGAACATGGTTGGTAAACGCATGGCGGGAGAGGCCGCCCGGGCTAGTCAGTAGTCACGTGATACACGATACTGGGTTCGTGATGGCAGGGGAGCGCACCCTGAGCAGTGAAGGACTTGGACATCTATTATGAAATTGACCTAGATCGTGACGGCAGAGATGCGCTTCTCGAGCAGTGAAGGTCTGAGAGTGCTGGCAAGACGAAGCCCATCGTAAGGGAGGTTAAGATTTTCTTCGTGGGAAGCCGTATTAGTTGACCTCATGTGAGCAAAGTCTTCTCTTGTAGGCTTGGCATATCAGTTATTGATATGATCGAGATTCTTAAAATTGTCTGTTATTTGATTATTTCTTGTTGTTAATTTAGTATAGTTAGAACAAACATTTGTCGTAAGGTGGAGATTGTTTAGGACGTTAACTGAAATATTTTGAATGTACATGAGTTTGAAATGCATGTTGTTTCGTATGAGTGTGATACGATCGTGATACATTTAGTGTTGACAAAAGAATATGTTTATTTTTTTGTAGCTTTGACAAATCATAGTCAGAACCTTCCAAAACTTCTATTATCACCATCTTCTAGAATTATCTCAATTCGAATGGTTATTTCAAGAGAAGTTTTCTTTTGTTTCGGTGGGGTTGGCACTTGGACAGAAAGATCGAAAGTGAGATCGATCTGTGGCTTGATTGACAGTGATGCTTACCAAGGAATCTCTGATTTACGATGGATTGTTGTTTGAAATAATTGATGGCTGTTGACATTTGAATAGAGAATTAAAAACTTTGATTTTGTTTATAATATTGAAAAGTGTTTGCAAAGACAGTCGTTTCAACACTCACGATTGAAAAGCGTCGTTTGTGTGAGCTGTATTGTTACGAAAACTCTGAGAGTTATCGGGAGCACATCTCCTGTAGATCCTAGGGGCACGGGTTAATAAACGTAGAGGCTTGTCTTCTACGAATTAAATGAACCCACTCATCAATTGTAGACTATTTATAATTAATCATGATTTTGAGTTTGAATTGTTCGGCTTTATGAAACTACTCATACCCCTACCACATTATCAAGTTTTAATATATGGTAAAAACCTAATGTTTGTACAGGGGGGAGGCTGTTCCGGATAAATCAAGCTTAAATTTTTAAAGTAGAATACGTGAAAGTTTGTCTATCATGTACGTGTAGTGAAGTAAGAAAAATGTGTTCGAATAAAACTGACGAGCGTTGTCATGCTAAAAAAACGTTCAGTTTTGCCATCAACTTCAATGACTCTGAGTTATATTTAAGTTTGGCAGTAGTAAATATCCTTAAAATTCGATGATTTCCCAAACATATTTCTTTCTTTGCGCGAAGCTGATTTTGTCAGCTACTGTGCCTTACGTGGTTGGTGATTAATACTTGCGTTATTCTATTCATTTTATCAATAAATAAAGAGACCTGTATGCGCCCCGGGTCGTGTGGCAATTGGTGTTGGCGTTAATAATTAATAAATTTTAGTAACTGTTATACAAACCAGTATGTGCCTTGGGTTGTAAGGTCATTTGCGTTTGCGTAATTATATTTCTTTTATTTATAAGTAAGGTAGTTAGTAAGCGCCCTAGATTGTATGGTTATTGGTGCTTGTGGTATTAATTAATAAATTTTAATAATTTTAATAATTATGATACTGACAAGTAAGCGCTTTGGGTTGTGTGATGATTGGCGCTCCCGTTTTTTTTTATAATTTTCAAAGGAACCAGTAAGTTCCCTGGGTTGTGTGTACATTGTCACTTATGTCATTTCATTAAGTATCCAAGCGACCAGTAAGCGCCCCGGGTTACGTGTTAATTAGCGCTTGTGTTATTATTGTTTTTTAATCAATTAAAAGCAAACAGTAACTGACTTGGGACTTGTAATGATTGGCGCTTTTGTTATTACTTCATAAATTTTAGTCATGATTTCAGGGACCAGTAAGCACCTAGGGTTGTGTTGTGATTAGCTGATTAGCAATTGCGTTGTTATATTTATTTTATTAAAATATAAAGCAGTTAGTTAGTGTCCTTGATTTTGTTGTAATCGGAACTTGCGTTAATAATTTCTAAGTTTTACTGATTTTTACAGTGAGAATTAAGCGCCCCGGGTTATTTGGTGCCTAGCATTACCGTTATTATATTATTTGATCAATAAATGAAGCAAACTGTAACTGTCCCGGGTCTTAAAATGATTGGTGCTTGCGTTATTAGTTTATGAATTTGATTTACAATAACATTGACTAGTAAGTAGCTAGGGTTGTGTTCGAAATAGCTATTGCGTTATTACTTGAAAAATTTCATTAATTTTCACAGTGACCAGTTAGCACCTTGGGTTGTGAGTTGATTGGCGTTTGTGTTGTTATATTAATC